AGTACTAAAATATAGCTCGTTTCGCTTGTTAAATGAATCTCGGGTACTCACTGATGTTTTATTTTTAGCAGGACTTCGCTCGCTAAGTAAGTACCTGCTAAGATAAGACAGATTTTGGCGAATGATATACCATCTAAGAAAATAAAGGGCGGGTGGGCGGGGCTAATACTTGCTAAGATAAAAGTGATTCTGGCGAATATACATACCTTCCAAGAAAAGAGAGGGTGGGCGGGCGGGGCTAGTACCTGCTAAGATAAGAGTGATTTTGGCGAATCGCATACCTTCTAAGAAAATAAAGGACGGGTGGGCGGGGCTGGTTCTTGGTAGAATAAAACTGGTTTTGGTAAAAGTGTAAAAAGAAAACATTACAAATAAAAAATTGAGAAACTGAAAAATCGAAAGTTGAAAAAGCGAAAAATTACAAAAATGAAAGAAAAAAAAAACGAAAAATTGTGATATAAAATCGATAAAATGAAAATTAAAAAATCGAAAACTGAAAAATAAAAATCAATATAAAAAGTTGAGGAAACGAAAAATTGAAAAATCGAAAAATCATAAACTGAGAAACTGAGAAATCGAAAAAATGAAAAAATGGTAATACCCAAAAAATTGCAAATCGAAAAATTGAAGAAATGAAAAATTGAAAAAAGAACAATTATATAACCGAAACATTGAAAAATCCAATCAAATGAAAAATTAAAAATCCAGAAAATGAAAAATTATAAATTAACAAGTTGAAATATTCAAGAAATGGAAAATTAAAAACCAAAAATCTGCAAAATTCAGATATTAAAAAGTCGATAAATTAAAAATTGCTGCTAAGATAAGACTGATTTTGGCAGATGAGATACCCTTTGAGAAAAGAGAGGGCGGGTGGGCGGGGCTAGTACCTGCTAAAATAAAACCGAGTTTGGTAGAATATATCCCGTAAGAAAAGAGAGGGTGGGTGGGCGGGGCTAGTGGCTGCTAAGATAAAATCGATTTTGGCAAATGACATAGCCTCTATGAAAAGAGAGGGTGGGTGGCCGGGGCTAGTAACTGCTACAATAAAACAGATTTTAATAGGTACTAACCCCGCCCACCTTCCCTCTATTTTCTTAGACGGATGTCATTTGCCAAAATCAGTCTTATCCTAGCAGGTATGTACTAGCCCCGCCCACCCACCCTCTCTTTTCTTAGAGGATATGTCATTTGCCAAAATCAGTCTTATCTTGGCAGCTACTAAGAAAATAAAGGGTGGGTGGGCGGGGCTAGTACTTGGTAGGATAAAACTGATTTTGCCGAATGATATACCCTCTAAGAAAATAGAGGGCGGATGGGCGGAGCTAGTACTTGTTAAGAGGACCCATTAGTATTTCAATTTTAAAAGTACCATCATACAGTTTGCTTCACCCGCTGAAAGAATCTCGGGGATCTATTGGTGTTTTACTTTTAGAAGTACCATAATACAGCTCGCTTCATTGGCTGAAAGAATATCAAAGAACCATTGGTGTTTCGTTTTTAGAAGTACTAAAATACAGCTCGCTTCGCTCGCAGAAGAATCTCGGGAACCTATTGATTGTTATTAGTTTGTAAAAGCAACCCAATACAGCTCGCTTCGCTCACTGAAAGAATCTCGAGTACTCACTGATGTTGTATTTTTAGAAGTACTAATATAGCTCGCTTCGCACGCTAAGTAAGTACTCTCTAAGAAAATACAGGGCGGATGGGCGGGACTAGTACTTGGTACAATAAGACTAATTTTGGCGAATGATATACCGTCTATAAAAATAGAGGGCAGGTGGGCGGGGCTGTCCGTGCTAAGATAAGACTGATTTTGGCAGATGAGATACCCTTAAAAAAATAAGGGGCGGGTGGGCGGGGCTAGTACTTGCTAAGACAAGACTGATTTTAGCGAATGACATACCTTCCAAGAAAAGAGAGGGTGGGTGGGCGGGGCTAGTACCTGCTAAGATAAGAGTGATTTTGGCAAATGAGATACCCTCCAAGAAAATAAAGGGCGGGTGGGCGGGGCTAGTGCTTGGTAGGATAAAACTGATTTTGCCGAATGATATACTCTCTAAGAAAATAGAGGGCGGATGGTACTTGTTAAGGGGACCCAATAGTTTTTAATTTTAAAAGTACCATCATACAACTCGCTTCACTCGCTGAAAGAATCTCGGGGATCTATTGATGTTTTATTTTCAGAAGTACCATAATACAGCTCGCTTCATTGGCTCAAAGAATGTTAAAGAACCATTGGTGTTTCATTTTTAGAAGTACTAAAATACAGCTCGCTTCGCTCGTAGAAGAATCTCAGGAACCTATTATTTATTATTAGTTTATAAAAGCAAGCCAGTACAGCTCGCTTCGCTCGCTCAAAGAATCTCGAGTACTCACTGATGTTTCATTTTTAGAAGTACTAATATAGCTCGCTTCGCTCGCTAAGTAAGTACTCTCTAAGAAAATACAAAGCGGATGGGCGGGACTAGTACTTGTTAGAATAACACTGATTTTGACGAATGATATACCGCCTAAGAAAATAGAGGGCAGGTGGGTGGGGCTGTCCATGTTAAGATAAGACTGATTTTGGCAGATGAGATATCCTTTAAAAAAATAAAGGGCGGGTGGGCGGGGCTAGTACTTGCTAAGACAAGACTGATTTTGGCGAATCACATACCCTTTAAGAAAATAAAGGGCGGGTGGGCGGGATTAGTACCTGCTAAGATACAAGTGATTTTGGCAAATGAGATACTCTCTAAGAAAATAAAGGGCGGGTGGACGGGGCTAGTACTTGCTAAGACAAGACTGATTTTGGTGAATCACGTACCTTCTTAGAAAATAAAGGGTGGGTGGGCGGGGCTGGTACTTGGTAGGATAAAACTGATTTTGGCGAATGATATATTCTGTAAGAAAAGAGAGGGGGGATGGGCAGGGCTAGTACTTGTTAAGATAAGACTGATTTTTGGCGAATCACAAACCTTCTAAGAAAAAAAAAGGCGGGTGGGCGGGGCTAGTACTTGGCAGGGTAAGACTGATTTTGGCGAATGACACCCTCTAAGAAAATAACAGGTGGGTAGGCGGGGCTAGTACTTGCTAAGTTAGCGAATGCCATACGCTCTAAGAAAATAAAGGACGGATGGGGACTTGCTAAGACAAGATTGATTTTGACGAACTACATAGCCTTTAAGAAAATAAAGGGCGAATGGGCGGAGCTGGTACTTGTTAAGGGGACCTATTGGTATTGTAATTTTAAAAGTACCATCATACAGCTCGCTTCGATCTCTGAAAGAATCTGAAGGTCCCATTGGTTTTTTTTTTTTTTTTTAGAAGAAGTACAGTTCGATTCGCTCGCTGAGAGCTTCATGGGGACCCATTGGTGTTTCATTTTTAGAAGTACCAAAATACAGCTCGCTTCGCTAGCTGAAAGAACCTCAGGGATCTATTAGTATTTTATTTGTAGAAGTACTATGATGCAGCTCGCTTCAAGAATCTCAAGCAACCATTAGCGTTTCATTGTTAGAAGTACTAAAATATAGTCCATTTCGCTTGCTAAATGAATCTCGGGTACTCGCTGATGTTTTATTTTAAGAAGGACTTCGCTCACTAAGTAAGTACTTGCTAAGATAAGACTGATTTTGGCAAATGACATACCCTTTAAAAAAATAAAGGGCGGGTGGGTGGGGCCAGTACTTGGTAAGATAAGACTGATTTTGACTAATGATATACCATCTAAGAAAATAAAGGGCGGATGGGCGGGGCTAGTACTTGCTAAGATAAAACTGATTCTGGCGAATAAAATACCTTCTAAGAAAAGCGAGGGTGGGTGGGCGGGGCTAGTACTTGCTTAGATAAGACTGATTTTGGCAAATGAAATGCCCTCTAAGAAAAGGGAGGGCGGGTGGGCGGGGCTAGTATTTCGTAAGATATGACTGATTTGGAAAAAGAGATATCCTCTAAGAAAAGGGAGGGCGGGCGGGCGGGGCTAGTACTTCGTAAGATATGACTGATTTGGAAAATGACATACAAGAAAATAAAAAGGAGGGGGGGGGGCTAGTACTTGCTAAGCTAAAACTGATTTTGGTAAATGATATTTATTTTCCGAGGGTAAGCTAAGGAAGTACCTGGTGTCTGGAAAATGGTGGATTAACTCTAAGAAAGTAAAGAGCGGGTGGGCGGATCTAGTACTTGCTAAGGGGACCCATAACAAAATACACAAAAGAATCTGGGCGATTTATTGATGTTTTATTTTTAGAAGTGCCTTAATACAGCTCGCTTAGTGTTTCATTTTTAATAGTATCAAAATGTGAGGGCAATGAGCATCACTTCCGCAATGCTTCGCATTCAGAAGGTTTCTTCAAAATACCCATTATTTTGTTCGCTGATAGAATCCTGGAACCCATTGGTATTTTATTTTTAGAAGCGTCTTAATTTATCGGATTTGTTCGCTGAAAAAATTTTTTGGATCCATTGGTATTTTGTTCTTAAAAAGCAACACAACACAACTCGCGTCACTCGAGGATTCTAGATTTAAAAGCGTTTTAAAACCCGACCTTACCTGACCTGACTTAAACTGACCTGATTTGATCTGACTTAACCTAACCTGACTTGGCTTGTTTTGACTTGACTTGACTTGACCTGATTTGAGCTGACCTGATTTGACCTGACCTGACCTGATTTGACCTGACCTGATCTGGACTAACCTGACCTGACCTGATCTGACCTGACCTGACCTGACCTGACCTGACCTGACCTGACTTCTCTGATAGATCCTCTTTAGACCACGTCCTGTGATTGACAGTAAAACTAATGATACACTTAATATTAATAATAATAATACCAAGAAGAAAAATACACTTACAAGAAATAGTAATGAAAAAATAAAATTAAGCCCTTGTATACGTGAAAATAACTTAACTCAGTTGTCTAGAGGCTCGACAGAGTACCCAGAATCGAATCCTCTCAAAGTCCCCAGTATCTACTACCAAGATGTAAGTAACGTTTTCCTTTTGCTCCCCCAGGTGCAGCAAGTGCACGTACGCCACGCACATGAAGGCTCGGTTCACCAAGCACGTCAAGTACCACTCGATGCCGATGATCAAATGCGACATGTGCGACTTCCGGACGCCGTACAAGTGGAACCTGGACAGGCACTGCAAGAACCACAACGGCCGCGGCGCCTTCAGGTGTTCGGCGTGCAACTTCACGGCGGACATCAAGCAGAGTCTCACCGTGCACGAGATGAACCACCACGTGCCGCCGGTGGGACAGGCGGCCGGCCTGGGAGTGGGGCGGCGGCGCAACAAGGTGGGCGCCAGCGACGCCGCCGCCGCCGAAGACGCCGCACAGGTGAGTAGCGAGCGACGGGGGCGAGTGGTGGTGGTGAAGTTCGCGTGCCGGAGGCGAAGTGCTTTCGCGAAGATTGGCGCTTTTCGAATGGGACGTGGAGGACGACGGCGGGTATTGATTCGAGTTCGGTTTCCAATAAGATACCGGCGGTGAGTTATGTATTATGCAGGCGGTTATTTAAATAAGTAAGCGAATGTCATTAGTGGCGGGTTTTTACGTTGAGGTATTGTCGGTGGATTTGGGGGTTTTGTCTGGGGGGGCGCGTTGACGTGACGTGGAGTGATGGTGCCGTTGGTACCGAAAGAAAATTTCTTTATTGAGCAAAAGTAACTTTGTTGGTGGTGAGTTATTTTTAAAAGGTTCATCAGAAGTGCATTTTTCGACAAAAATTTTTGATGCAATTTTTTTAAACAAAATACAGGAAGGATGGTTGTAGGAAAAAAAACTGAAATTAGAATGTCCAAGGTTTTCACAAACTCGTTTATTTTGTTATAATATTAAAATAATAGTAAAATATGGCGTATTTAAAAATTTTCAAATATACAAGGTGTTTTTCCTTTTTGTGATGTAACACTCTATATATTTTCACAATTCAATTTATTCACGTTTTTATGTAAATTTTTGTCAAAATTTTTAATTACCTTGCCTTAACAAACGTATAAAAACTGAAGCGTTTATTAACTAATTTATACAAGGTGATCAAAATTACAAATTGCCCGTTTTCTCGTATTATTTAAATGGGACACCTTGTATTTTTTTTTATTTTACAAAATACGTGTGTCCCATTTAAACACTTTTCAAATTTAATCAGTCGGTATAAATAAATTTATATGTATGTAGAAGCTAACTGGAAAGTTTTGTGCAAAATTGCAAACCTCCATCTTTAAAAATGGCGGAGCGGTGAATTTCTAAAATAGGAGCATTTTCCGTAAAAAATCAAATATTTAGTTGATCCTTTTTTAGTATATTCTTTTTTTGCCATTTTTATATAAAGAATATAAACCTTTAAAAATATTTCTATGTTCTATTTGAAAAGACCGAAATATCGATATTTGAAAATTATAAAAATTTATATATTTTTTTATAAACCCTCTGTATATTAAAATTTGATTTATTTGATACCAAAACAAAGCGCGAACATATCTTTATTGATCTTTCCACAAAATATTGTAACACTTCTATTGCGAAATAATTTCAAAAAAAATAGAATAACGTGGCAACGTCGCATCGATGTTTCAAAAACGAACTGTAGCTATAAAGCATAGAAAGAAAATGATGAGAATATGTAAAAATATACAGAATGTTCCATTTAAATAAACTAAGTTGTGTGTTAAGCCAAAAAAACAGAACATTCTGTACAGTTAAAAATAATTTTGGAATGTAGTTGTCAAAGAACCGTACAACTTTTGACTCGTATTTCATGGTCTACTAGAGAACTTTTTTTCGATCATATGGTATCACACGATCGAGAAAAAAAGTCGTTTAGCACTCTTTGAAATTTAACAGCATTTCTTGAAAATAAATTTCATGGCCTACTTTTTTCGGTTATACGGCACATAGAAAAAATGAATACCGAGCATAAAAAAATCAAGCAGTCACTTCAAAAAAAAAAGTTCGAATCAATAAGTGCCGATCTTCTTCTGTTTTTAATTGTGACATTTTTCGGTTTTCGATTTTTTGTTTTTTCAACATTTAGATTTTTTAATTTTCGTTTTTTCAATTTTAAATTTTCCAGTGTCCAGTTTTTTTCATTTTTTCGTTTCTTCAGTTCTTCGTTTTTTCAAATTATAGATTTTTACATTTTTTCCATATTGAAAATGGAAAAGTTGCAAAATTGTAAAATTTAAAATCAAAAATGAAAAAACGAAAAAGTATAAAATGAAAACATTAAAAAATCGAAAAATCAAACTGAGAAATCGAAAAAATGAAAAAATGGTAATACCGAAAAATTGCAAATCCAAAAATTGAAAAAAGTAAAGTTGAAAAAAGGAAAATTAAAGAACATTGAAAAATCCAAAAAATCTAAAATCGAAAAATTGAAAAATTAAAAATCCAGAAAATGAAAAATTATAAATTAACAAGTTGAAATATTCAAGAAATGGAAATTAAAAACCAAAACTGCAAAATTGAGAAATTGAAAAATAAAAATCTCGAATATGAAAAATTGAGGAAACGAAAAATTGAAAAATAGATAGAAATTAAAAATTACTGCCAAGATACGACTAATTTTGGCAGATGATATACCCTCTAAGAAAAGAGAGGGTGGGTGGGCGGGGCTAGTAATTGCTACGATAAAACAGATTTTAGTAGGTACTAATCCCGCCCACCCGCCCTCTATTTTCTCAGAGAGTATGTCATATGTCAAAATCATACTTACATTAACACGTGGTAACCCCGCCCACCCGCCCTCTCTTTTCCAAAAAATGAAAAACTGAAGATCGAGACGTTGAAGAAACGAAAAATTTTCAAAATTTGGAAGTTGAGAAATTGAAAAATTGTAACATTAAAATTGAAAAAAAGAAAAATAAACTAAAACATCGAAAATTGGGAAAATTAAAAAATTAATGAAAATGAAGACGTGAAAAATTGTGATAAAAAAAATTGGTTGGAGGTTATTTCGACAGAACTTCTCTCGGCCCTTACTTACAGTATAAAAAATCCAGATTTTTCGAAAATAAAAAAACGAAACATTGTGATGTAAAATCGATAAAATGAAAATTAAAAAATCGAAAAATGAAAAATAAAAATTAACATAAAAAGTTGCGGAAGTGAAAAATTGAAAAATCAAAAAATTATAAATTGAGAAACTGAGAAGTCGAAAAAATGAAAAAATGGTAATACCGAAAAATTGCAAATAGAAAAATTGTAACAAGTAAAGTTGAGAAAAGAAAAATTATAGAACCGAAACATCGAAAAATTAAAAAAATTTATTATCGAGAAATTGAAAAATTAAAAATCCAGAAAATGAAAAATTATAAATTAGCAAGTTGAAATATTCAAGAAATGGAAAATTAAAAACCAAAAATCTGCAAAATCGAGAAATTGAAAAATAAAAATCACGAATATGAGAAATTGAGGAAACGAAAAATTGAAAAATCGATAAATTAAAAATTGTTGCTAAGATAAGACTGACTTTGGCAAATGAAATACCCTGTAAAAAAAGTGAGGGTGGGTGGGCGGGGCTAGTATCTGGTAAGATAAAACTGATTTTGGTAGATGACATACCCTGCAAGAAAAGAGAGGGTGGGTGGGCGGGGCCAGTAACTGCTACGATAAAACAGATTTTAGTAGGTACTAACCCCGCCCACCCGCCCTCTATTTTCTTAGACGGATCTCATTTGCCAAAATCAGTCTTATCCTAGCAGATACTAGCCCCGCCCACCCACCCTCTCTTTTCCAAAAAATCAAAAATTGCAAAATTGAAAACCTTGGAAATTGAGAAATTGAAAATTTGAAAATATTAAAATCGAAAAAAGAAAAATCATAAAACCGAAACATTGAAAATTAAAAATTGAGAAACTGAACAATCGAAAAATTGTCATATCGAAAAACTGCAAAATTGAAAAATTGCAACTCGAAGAATTGAGAAACATTAAAGTTGAAAAAAAGAAACGTTATAAAATCGGAACATTGAATAAGCGAAAAATTGCAAAAATATAAGAAATGAAAAAACGAAAAATTGTGATATAAAATCGATAAAATGAAAATTAAAAAATCGAAAAATGAAAAATAAAAATCAGCATAAAAAACTGAGGAAACGAAAAATTGAAAAATTATAAACTGAGAAACTGAGGAATCGAAAAAATGAAAAAATGGTAATACCGAAAAATTGCAAACGAAAAATTATAGAACCGAAACATTGAAAACTCCAAAAAATTTTAAATCGAAAAATTGAAAAATTATAAATTAACAAGTTGAAATATTCAAGAAATGGAAAATTAAAAACCAAAAATCTGCAAAATTGAGAATTTGAAAAATCACGAATATGAAAAATTGAGGAAACGAAAAATTGAAAAATAGATAAATTAAAACTTGCTGCTAAGATACGACTGATTTTGGCAAATGAGATACCTTCTAAGAAAAGAGAGGGTGGGTGGGCGGGGCTAATAACTGCTACGATAAAACAGATTTTAGTAAATATTAACCCCTCCCACCCGCCCTCTATTTTCCCAGAGGGTATGTGATATGTCAAAATCGATCTTACATTAACAGGTGGTAACCCCGCCCACCCGCCCTCTATTTTCTTAGGCGGATCTCATTTGCCAAAATCATTCTTATCTTGACAGCTACTAGCCCCACCCACCCACCCTCTCTTTTCCAAAAAATGCAAAATTGAAAAACTGCAGACATTGAAGAAACGAAAATTTGAAAATATTAAAGTTAAAAAAAGAAAAATCATGAACCCAAATATTGAAAATTCGTAAAAATAAAAAAAGGAATGAAAATGAAGAAACGAAAAATTGTAATAAAAAAATTGTTGGAGGTTATTTCGACAGAACTTCCCTCGCCCCTGACGTACAGTATAATAAATCCAGATTATTCTAAAATGAAAAAACGAAAAATTGTGATATAAAATTGATAAAATGAAAATTAAAAAATCGAAAAATCATAAATTGAGAAACTGATAAGTCGAAAAAATGAAAAAAATGGTAATACCGAAAAATTGAAAATCGAAAAATTGTAACAAGTAAAGTTGAGAATAGAAAAATTATAGAACTGAAACATTGAAAAATCCAAAAAATCTAAAATCGACAAATTGAAAAATTAAAAATCCAGAAAATGAAAAATTATAAATTAACCAGTTGAAAAATTCAAGAAATGGAAAATTAAAAACCAAAAATCTGCAAAATCGAGAAATTGAAAAATAAAAATCACGAATATGAAAAATTGAGGAAACGAAAAATTGAAAAATCGATAAATTAAAAATTGTTGCTAAGATAAGACTGATTTTGGTAGATGACATACCCTGTAAGAAAAGAGATGGTCGGTGGGCGGGGCTA